ATTTTATATAAAACATTTTCTTCGATTTTGACAGGTGGCGCTGTAATCCATCAAATATAATTTTTTCTGCTTTATATCTGCTGAACTATTATTTTATTGACTGATTGATTGATTAGTGTGACCAATATCATCTATTAATGTCAGAGGAATATTCAGTCTGAAAATTGTTGGATGATGAAAATCAAATATGTACCTCCAAATCAACAAAAGATCTATTTGTTTATTAAAAGTATATCGGCCGGCTTCTCCGTATACAAAAATAATTTAAATTTTTTCTTGCACAGTTACTGCGCCAATATCAAAACTTATAGTAGCTTATTTAAATCAAATTCAAATAGTGGTTCTAACTCAGAACGAAATTAATAAATGTGAAAGTCAACAATTTGAAATTTCTACGATTTGATCAGCGTTCCTATATTAAGTTTAGAAAAATTTTAGATGACTTTGACAGCTTCATATTCAAAATACATTTCGAAATGTCACGTATTCGCAATGCGAATTTTCAAACTATTAATGCTATACTTTTAATAAACATAGATGTTTTGTTGATTTGGAGGTACATATTTGATTTTCATCATCAAACAATTTTCGGACTGAATATTCCTCTGACATTAATAGATGCTATTGGTCACACTAAATTTTTCAACGTTTCAATTAAATAACAGATAGTTTAGCAGATCTAAAGCAAAAAAAAAGATAATTGATGAATTGCAGCGCCACCTGTCAAAATAGAAGAAAATCTTCTGGATAGATTATTCTCAGTTTTTGACGTCCTATTCGAATCTCCAGTAAAATGTTGTAGTTACCATTGGAAATTCTCAAGTTGGCCCCTGCCTAGCCTACAAGGTCGAAGTAGGCGTTGCTTTTCTGACACGAATAACCTTCCCTCTCCCAGATATTAACTTCTTATTTGAAACTTTTTTTCCTCGGATCACTCGTTTCCAAAGTATTTAAGCGTTTCAAGGTAAAAAAACCACGCTGTATATAAAGGTAAAAGAAGTAACGGGTGTGGCGAAAAAACAAGAAACAGGTAAAGCTGCTGAGTAGTCATGTCATATGTGACTGAGACTTAGAAAGACAAATCAACGACAACGAGGCCATGAGCTGAATACTGACCGCATCCAAGACAAGCAACCAGCAATCGCAAAGGATCAAGAAGATTGACTCAAGAAGACGACTGCAAACTATAGATCGAAGTACACAAAATATCGAAGGAAGAATTCACTGGAAGCAGTTCAGATCAGAAATGCCGGAAACTGCAATGGATATCAAAACGGTCAAAAAAACTAAACAACAATGGATGACTGAGGAAATTTTGAATTGATGGACGACAGAAGATATAATATACAGGGTTGCTATCAGAAACTCAGAAACTGAGAAACAGATCATCAGAACAGTGTAAGGGTTTAAGCAATCCACCTCTGAAGATGCAAGCCACTCGTGCTTGCGAAACGTCATGAAGAAATTCCATTTTACGACGGCCTAAAAACCTGAAAAACCTACTAGTTTCAAGGAATGGCCTTGAAAGTCTGTCTCTTTTGATAGTACCCTTGCTGTTTTAGTGGCTCTGATGACGACAGATTTTATATACGCTTGAATCGCATACACACTATAATACAAAAGGCTTTTTTGATTAAATTTAATCCAGTATATACACATCCACTTGCTCCCCTAAGGGTTAATGTGACTGGTTGCGGTTGCACAAAGCATTCACTTTGGTTCCGGCTGTTTTTCTTAGGTACTTGGAGTTTTCTGCCACCTTTCGTCGTTGCACTTGAAAACTAAAAATTCGATTTCGTTAGTCCATTATTGTTTTGAGCACCATTTTGATTCTTGATCCAGGAGATTTTGTAGCGGAACGACTCGTCCGCCGGATCGACCTCGATTACGGCCAAAGACGTGGAGGGTCGCGCGTGCTCCAAAACGCTGCTAAACACGATCCTCGGCTTCTGGATCTGAAAACAATCGTTTCTTGAGTGCCTGGCTGCTATTCTACGGATCTAATTGCGATTAATTTACCCGATCGGCCAGAGTAGCTGATTCGACCGACGAACAACGTCGAATCGTTGCAGGAATTCTCTGAGTTATTGCCCGCTTTTTTGAGAACGACGTTTTTTGGCCGGCCATCGATATTCGAAACGGACGCCGATGTATCTGGCAAGCAGGGCGCTCTGGAATCGAAAACAATTTGTCTCTTCACTCAGCTGATTTGCAATTTCGAGTTTCGTCTGGATGTGACGAAATGGGCCTGAAAGCTTTTAGAACAGTTGAAACCACTCAGCGACATTAAGGTCTCCCAAAGCATGTGGGCAATTATGTAAAGAGCAAACATCTGTTTTATCGCCTCAATCGAAATCCTTCAATCGGCACTTTGATTCGCCTACTGTTGCCTACCATTGAGGAGGATTAGGCAGCAGCTCGATTATCTTCGGTCTGTAATTGTTTAACTTTATTGCAACCGTTTTTGATAGTGATGAGAATAATCGTATTAATTCATGGTAAATGAAAATAAACCACACTTTTCTTCTCCACTTTTTCTACAAGTAGAAGGTCAAAACAACTATCCGCTTCTCAAATAAAAAAAATTTCATAAAACTGGCGACTTTTTCCGGTTTTAAGGCCGTCGTGTGGCTTGTATCTTCAGAGGTATGTTTGCTTCGGGTCCGAATTTATTTGGACTTTATAACTATGAACTTAAAGTATATTTGGCTTCTGCAAGGTAGACTATTTGTTATTTGAAATCAATTTGAAACGTTGGCTTCGGATGCGAAGATACGTCTAGAGATGCAAGCTACGAATCGTAAGCATGCGAAACGTCGGGAAAAAAATAGAAATCACGACTTTGCTTTTTCTTTTACTATTTTTTCGAGTTTTTTCTGATCTTTTTGCGCTTTTGAATCAACTGTTTAGAAAATATTAAAGCCAATGCTAGTTACTGGCACAAATAGCAAGATTCCTGTGGGGTTTCCACTGCAATTTCCGTCTTTTTTCCTTTCAACAAACCAACCGCATTTTTTTCAGTTTTGCTAAAATTATAACATTTTCGTCACTTTTCTCTGATTTAGTTTGACATTTTTTGGCTCTAGTTTAGACACTTTAAAACTTTATGGCTTCTTTTCTGCCACTTTAAACGATTTTTTCACGTTAACTGCTAACTTTCACAGTACAGCATTTTGCAAATTTTTTGCTCAGTTTTTAAAATTTGTCTGAAAAAAAGGTTTTAGTCAATTAGATAAATTTTCGTTCGCTTCCTTCTGATTCACAATTTTGTGTTTTCGTTGACTTTATGAGCTTTTTCGAGTGGCATCCATACATCAAGTAACATTTTATTACGCTTCTTTTTTAGAATTTGACATTTTTTGGCGCCAATATAGCCACATTACAAAGATTTATGGTTTTTTTCTATCACTATAGACAAACTTTTCACGTTAACTGCTAACTTTCGCAGGTTAACATTCTGCACATTTGTGCGCCTCAATTTCTAAATTTTGGTTGCAAAATGCCTTTAACGAATTAAAAAATCTTCTTTATTCTTCTTCCGTCTTACACTTTTGTGTGGTTTTCGTTGATTTCATGAGTTTATTTGAGTGTCAAATATCCATTAAGATCACATTTTGTGTCTTTTACTCATCAATTGTTTGCATTAGTTGCCACTTTACTACTGGTCTTTGTTGGCTTTTAATGAACTATATTTTTAAAGTCTCCGGCTGTTTGTTATTCGGTTTTTTATAAGTTGATGGGTCTTTGAATCAACTGTTTAGAGAAAATTAGGGTCATAATAATAATAGTCGGCTACGACTTGAAAAGATTTAAAGAATTTACAAAATTTGACATTTTTTGGTTCTAGTATAGGGGTACTTTCAAACTTTATGGCTTCTTTTCTGTAACTTTAAATTAATTTTCACGTTCACTGCTAACTTTTGCAGCTCAGAAATTTGAAAATGTTCTCAGTTTCCAAATCTTTTCCAACAAATATTCAACAAGTAACATTTTGTGAATTTGAGTCACTGCATGAGTCGCCCCTTTGCTACTGTTCTTTGTTGATTTTTTAGTACATTTTTAATTATAGAATTTTGCAATTTTTTCTGAATTTACGAAAAAATCAAAATTTACTCCTTTTAAGTGTAAAAAATTAACTGATTTTTTTTTGAATTTCGATAAAACTCGGCTGCTACTTGGGTAGTTTTTTTTAGAATTTTATCATTTTCTCAAAATTTGCTTGGTTCAATTTGACATTTTTTCTTTTGCCCATGAGTTGCTCACATTAATTGCTGTTTTTATAGCGCTTTTATTAGATTTGTCTTCAAAACGTTTGATTTTTTCTTCAGACTTTTGTACGTTTTTTTAAATTTTTAATTAACAGTTTAAAGAAAATAGTGTATTTCCAGACTGATAAGTTTGATAAAGAGTTTGATAAAACTGAAAAAGAGTAATTGGAAAAAGTTCACAAAGTAAAAACAGCAGTCGAATTTCGAAAATGCCAAAGGATTTTCATTTAAACTGCTAAGAAACTCAACCAGGAATATTGGTATGTTTTGTTTTTGTGTGTTTCTGCCATCAGCGACCATTGACGTTAATTTTCTCTAATAAGTCGATTTGAAATCGAAAAAAAAATCAGAATGAAACCGAAAAAACAGCAAAAGCATATAAAATTAAAATGTATTAAACTTCAACAAAGAACAGTAACAAAATGGCATTTAATGCGAACAATTAATGAGTAAAAGACACAAAATGTACACTTGATGGGTATTTGCCACTCACTAAAAATGTGGAAATTTTGAAAAAGTAACTGCGAAATTGATCAGATGAAAAAAATCTAAAATATAACCGGTTTGATGAAAATAAAAGAGGTCAAAGTTCAGTGTAAATTCAATGAAAAATGGTCATTTGTCATCAACCTTCATTTATTAATAAAACATATAAAAAATGTCTGCATTGACTGGAGATTATGTGCTTTAAAATACCGTTGCATATTCCAAAATTCCCTATAAAACTAAGAAGGAATAAGAAAAAGCTTTAAAAGAAAAATGTAATAAAAACTGCATAAAAGTGGTAAGTGTTGTGAACAACTGATGAGTTAAAAACAGGAAATGTGAACTTAATGGATATTAACCACTGAAAAAAAACTAATAAAGTTAACGACGAACAGAACAAAAGTGAAAGCCAGAAAAAGCAAACGAAAATTTTTTATAATGTGTTAAAAGCATTTAATATCTAAAATTTAGTGGCATAAATGTACAGGATGCTGCTCTGTGAAAGTTAGAAGTTCGAAACAAGAAAATTTGTTTAAATTGAAAGAAAAAAAGTCATAAAGATTGAAAATGTCAAATTCAATAAAAAAATGAGAAAAAATTAAAACAGAAGCCAAAGTAACAGCGGTCAGAATAAAATAAAAAAAATACAATTAGTTGACAGGAAAAAGCTGAAATTACAGTTAAAATCCACTCAGGAATTTTGGCATTTGTAGTTTTTAATGATATTCGTAGTTGTCTCAGTCTCAATCAGAAAAACCGACAAAATTGCAAAATGTTATAAAACGAAAACGTATTAAAAACCAACAAATAACAGTAGCAAACTGGCAAATAATAATGCACACAACTGATGAGTAAAAGACAGCAAATGTGAACTTAATGGATATTTATCACCCAAAAAATAAAAAAAATCGAAGAAAGCAGACGGTGTGAACCAAAAGAAAACGAACGACGATTTTTCCACCAACGACGAACGACGAGAATGTAGAGAATCTTGCGCTGCGAAAGTTAGCAGTTAACGTAAAAAAATCGCCTTGAAAGATAGAAAAGAAGCCTTAAAGCTGGAAAGTGTACACTATACAGAGAAATTGCAGAGAAAACCCAACCAAGAATTCCTGGCATGTTTTGGTTTTTCTTACTTCTGCCATTAGCGAAGAGTTTAGCGAAGTTTAAAAAAAACTGAAAATAGCAAAAGATATAACAACAAAATGCATTATAATAAAATTTTATTAGAAACCTGGAAAGAACAGTAGCAAGGCAAGGACTGCTGAGTAAATAACACAAAATGTAAACTTAATCGGTATTTGCCTCTCAAACAAAAACTTAGAATCTACGAAAAAAATGGAATTGTTTTAATTAATTAACAGAAAACAACCGATTAAATCCAAATAGATCAAGCGTGAATTTAGTCAAAGGAAAAACGACGTTTTTTTTATTGAAAGAACTGACTGTTGAAACTGAACCAGGGTAATTGGGAAAAGCTTATAAAGCAAAACACCACTAAGAAAGTGTTGAATAATGTTCATTTAAGCTGGTAAGAGACCTGACCAGGAATATGGATATGTCTTGATTTTTTTGTATGTCTGCCATTAATCTTTAGCACAACAAAACTAAAAAAACATAAACTTTTGAAGGTAAGATCACTTTTTGGACTATTAGGCGTTTTAAATAAGAGTGGCTTGCAACAGGCCAGAAAGAAATTCTAATTCACAACGGCTACAAAAAGAAAAACTCACCAGCTTCCACTGTCCTCTATCTACTCCTTTCAACTAAGGCTATTCAAATTGATTACTCCCACTCAATGAACACTCACCGACATTGGAAAGCAGTGAAGAATGTTTGGCGGAACTTCCTGTTCATGAAGCAGTACGTGATTGGATTGGAGCAGGAGCTGATATAGGCCATGAGCTGGACTAGGGCGATTCCTGTCGATCCCACCAGCTCGTAGACTTCCTTCGGATAATACAGATACCAGGTGTTGACAATGTGCAGTGGCGCCCAACAGATGAAGAACTCGGCCACGATGACGAACAGCATTCTAATCACCTGGAAACCCGGAACATTATACTTTAAAAATATACTCGGCTTGAGATTGAATTGTTCAAACTGCCCCCGCAGCAATAACGATCTATCATTCCCTAATGGCAATGTCTAAACTTCCGGAATTCTATATGATACCGTTATATTAAAACTTCTAAACCGTAAAAAATGATTTCCGACAACTTCCTCCTCCGCAAACATATTATACGATTAAAGTTTTAAAGCTAATTTCGGTTCTGCAGTGAACTTTTTCGCCTTTTTTGCAGGTTGTCTGAAATGGACGTTTTTCCTATATCGGATAATGCCTGCTGGAACCTCTATTATCGGGGGAAATCTCTTAAACAACCGGATTTTGTTTCGTTTAAATTTCCGGAGTTTGATTCTAGTCATTTCAACTGATTATAATATTAAATAGACACAATATAATATAACATAAAGGTGAGTCAATTCTGATGATTTCATCAATGTTTTTAGGGTCTTAAGTTCAGTGGAAGCACAGGTTCCGAAGGTGGTTGTCTGGCCTGAGATTTTCATAATTCTTTAAAGAGTTTCTATTGGGCAAATCAAAAGCACATTCATAAACTTCTCCAAAATTGCCTGAGAATGTGCGAAAACCCAAAATGGCCTGATGATGACTCAAAATTGAAACTTTTGATACTGATAAAACAGCTAAGTTCAACAAAATACATACGAAACTATCTGTCTAATTTAACTCTTCTGCCGAAATAACTGGTAAACTCCGACATGCAGAAACAAGCCTAAAATACAAGCACAAATTATACATTTCCTAAAGATTACCCGAGGATGACTCAAAACCTAAACCTTTTTCCATTTTTAGACAAGATTTTCTCCTTCAAATGTGATATAAAGGTAACTCTACAACTAATTTCAGTTCTTGAGTAAATAAATGCCAATCTTCGACTTGCTTATATATACTCGAAAACAACATGCAATACTTAAAAATTCTTCATGTTCAAAGAAAAAACTTTGTTATATAAAATACCTGCGAAAGCTACTCTCTCACTTTCTTCCGGCTCCTAAATAACATGTTGTTTAAAACAATATCGTCAGCCAAGCACAAAAATTTGGAAAAATTGTCAAAAATTGCATGACGATGACAGAATCTTGTCTTGTCATCATGAAAGACATCTTGTTCTACAAAATGCATTGAAAATTTATTATTAAATAAATGGATACTCAGGTCTGCAAAAATCACTTTAAAACCATTCGCGGATTAGATAATTTGATGAAAATTGAGTGAAAGCACACTCTTCCCACTTACAAAACAGGCTTTTTTCGAAAAAAAAACCATGCAAAAAATCTCTCTCAGTTTGCAAATTCTTAAGTCCTAAATGAAGGACAAACGCAAGCTTGTAAACCAAACCAGTTTTGACAAATGTTGAAATATTGCCTGATGATGTGACGATGGGTGACAATGTAAATTTCGCCTATTCACATGAAATGCTTAAGGAATTTGCCGGACGAAATGAATAAAAAATTCACTTTCTCATTACGAAAACCAATCGGGGTTTTGACAATTAGTGAAATTTGCTGTTGCTGAAACGAACTTTCACGCACGAAAAACATGTATAAAGCGACTTCCTCGTCGCAAACGACGCCCTACGATACATCTTCACAAACCAACCACAATTTTGAAACATTTTTCAAAATTGCCTGATGGCGACTGAGTTCGAAACGTTGTCCGCTACCTAGAGTACGTTGCTCTTCAAAACGTATTCTACATTGACTTTCCATTTTTGCAAGTTACAGAGGAAATAATTCGAAAATTTCGGACGACAAAGTTAAAAAATCACCCCGAAAGCCACACTCCATTTTGATTAATACCAGATGATGACTGAAACTCGAAACATTTAAACATGTACCACAGCTTCTGCCCCACAAAAAGTATGCAAAAAAACTTTTGGTAATTCTTAAAAAAATACATATCAAACTGCAGCCTGCAAAAGGAACACCCTCGCAAACCAAACCCAATTTTAAAAAAATATTAAAAATTGCCTTATGAGGGCTGAAAAGGGAAATTTTGTCCCGCTATAGAAGGGGCTCTGGTCTTAAAAATCCATCCTAATTTCATTTTCTAATGTCAGAAGTTACAAGAGAAAAATATGCTAAATTGCCGCACGCGGAAATCACTTGAAAAAGCAGAGGCAAATTTGAAACAAAAGGAGAATTGCCTGATCTTAACTAAAAATTCCTACTTCCGCCGCTAACAAAACGCCGCTTTTATTCTACAGAATAAATTGAAACGCAACACTCTCACTTTAGTAGATTCGGAATAATTCAATGCTAAGTTCCGGAGTGCAAAAAAACCTCGTAAGCCAAACGCAAAATTTCAAAATTGTGCAAAATTTCCTGATGATGGCTGAATATAAAACTTTCTTATCTACTTATAAAAGGGATGTTGCTTTACAAAATACATGCAAAATTGACTTTTGTAGTTGGTAACTAACAGAGGATATAAATGCAAAATTCCGGCCTGCCAAATTAAAAAATCACCACAAAAAGCAGACTCGATTTTGAAAAATTCTTGGGTATTGTCTGAGGTTAACTGAAAAACGAAACTTTGCCGTTTATAAAATAAACTTTGCCCTTTAGAATAAATACAATTGCGACTATCGCACCTCTTCAGTTTCTGAATATATTAATTATAAACGCCGGCCTGCAAAAAACCACTAGAAAAATCAGCCGGGACTTTGACATTTTTTCAGCTTGCCTGATGCTGAATAAAAATACAAACGTTTGCGCCTTACAGACTAGACTTTACCCTCCAAAAGCATCGAGAAAGCAACTTTTTCACTGTGTTAGTGTCCGAATAAATCAATGTTAAACTTCGGCCTGCAAAGCAACCTCGTAAACCAAACTCACCTGTAAAAAATTGTCAAAGATAAACTGGTTTTCACTGAAAATCGAAGCGTTCTCCATTTATCTAGCAGACTTTGCGCTACAAAACGCATCCAAAATTTCTTGTCTCTTTTCGTAAGATACAGAAGAAACAATTGCTAAATTCCGATCTGCAAAATTCAAAAACTATACGCTATTTTTAATATATTTTGAAAATGGTCTGATGATGGCAGACAATCGAAACATTGTGTCGCAAACTCGTAGAAAAGAGTCTGTCTTGCAGAAAATATACAAAAGAAACTTTTCCATTTTGTTAAATCTTAAGCAAATAAATATTAAACTCTATCCTAAAAATAACATCGTAAACTAAACACAATTTTGAAAAATTGCGAAAACTTGACGGACGATGACTCAAAACGGAAACTTCTCTGGCTGATAAAAGATACTTTGGACTCCAAAACAATTCAAAACTCATTTTGTCGCTTAGTAAGTTACCCAGAAAACAAATGCTCAACTTTGGCCTGAAAAAATTACTACACAAGCAAGACGAAAATTTAAAAAAATGTTGAAAATTTGCTGGTGTCGCCTGAAACGCCAAACATTTCCAAATACGAAATGTAGTTTACCTTGTAAAAAACATGCGAAAGCGACTCTACCACTTTATTAGAATCGAAGGAAATAGTCAATCAAAAAAAATTTTCAAAAATACCATGCTGATTGCCAAAAGAAATTGGCCACTAGTGAGGAATGTGACGGTAACAAATTTTCCGGAGAAAATAAATAAAAAAATCACTTTCCCACTACAAAAACGAATCGCGGTTTTGACAATTAGTAAATTTTTCTGTTGCTGAAACGGACTTTCACCCACGAAAAACACGCAGAAAGCCCCGTCCTACAAAATAGCTTCACAAACCAACCAAAAACGTTGTCCTCCACCTAGAGTACGTTGCTCTTTAAAACGTATTCTACATTGACTTTCCATTTTTGCACGTTACAGAGGAAATAATTCAAAAATTTCGGGCGATAAAGTTAAAAAATCACCCCGAAAGCCACACTCCATTTTGATTAATCCCAGATGATGAAGAAAATCGAAACATTTAAACTTGTATCACAACTTCTGCCCTACAAAAAGTCTACAAAAAAAGTTTCTGATTCTTAAATACGTACATATCAAACTGCGGATTGCAAAAACACCCTCGCAAACAAAACCCAATTTTAAAAAATTATGAATTGCCTTATGATGGCTGAAAAGATAAATTTTGTTCCGCTATAGAAGGGACTCTGGCCTTAAAAATCCATCCAAATTTCATTTTCTAATGTCAGAAGTTACAAGAGAAAAATATGCTAAACTGCCGCGCGCGGAAATCACTTTGAAAAGCAGACGCAAATTTGAAAAAAAAATGAGAATTGCCCGATCTTTACTAAAAATTCAGACTTTCGTCGCTAATAAAACGACTTTTATTCTACAGAAAAAATTGATATGTGTCTCTCTTACTTTAATAGATTCGGAATAATTTAATGCAAAATTCCGGGGTGTTAAAAAACCTCGTAAACCAAACGCAACATTTTAAAATTGTGAACATTTTCCTGATGATGGCTGAATGTATAAACTTTGTCTATTATAAAAAGGATGTTGCTTTACAAAATACATCCAAAATTTACTTCCGTAGTTGGCAAGTTACAGAGGAAATAAATGCAAAATTCTGAACTGCCGAATAAAAAAATCACCACAAAAAGCAGACCTAATTTAAAAAAAAAATTGGGTATGGTCTGAGGATGACTGAAATTCGAAACTTTTGCCGTTTATAAAACAGAATTTGCCCTATAGAATAAATACAAGTGCGCCCATCTCGCGTCTTCAGCTTCTGAATATTTTAATGCTAAAATTCGGCCTGCAAAGTATCACTAAAAATACTACGGGATTTTGACAATTTTTCAACTTGCCTGATGCTGAGTAAAAATTCAAACTTTTGCCGCTTACGGATCAGACTCTACCCTCCAAAGGCATCGAGAAAGCAACTTTCTCACTTTCTCAGTTTCCGAATCAATCAATGTTAAACTTCGGCCTGCAAAGCAACCTCGTAAATTTTTAATATATTATGTATTTCGAAAATGGTCTGGTGATGGCAGAAAATCGAAAAATTATG